AGAAAAACTAAACAAATTGAGTATATAGAGAAGTACTCTACCAACCAGGCTGCCAGAACTAAAGAAAAAAGATTTGCTTAATTTGTGATTATCAGAAGACCGGTAACTTTTGGGTAAAAATCTCTCCCAGGCTATCTGGATTGGTGGTTTGGGTTTTGGTATATACTTCTAATGGTCTATAAGGTGTGAACTAGAGTTTGGGCAAACTCTACAAAGGCAGAAATAGGTAATAGTAGTGGTTTCAACTCACAAGTACTTGTTCTCAAACTTAGCATAAGTTAATAATGTCTAAATTAATCAGATTGTAGGTATGAGAAACTCTAGCAGGTTTACCCTAAGAATAAAGTTGTTCTAAGATTATAATGAATATTAGTTTGAGATTATATATATAGAAATATATGTATGGTTAATGCAGGACTGATACTGTAAAAATAATCTGTTAAACATAAATAAATGTACTGACCAAAGGGGTTATCTTAATATCGAAAAAAAAAAATTAAAATTAAAACCATATGTAGTACTATATAAAAATTAATTATTAATTTTTTTTAAAAAAATTAAAGATCAGAATAGTGATTAAGATTTTTATTACCATATTGTCACAAAATAACACACAGGAATGTTATTTAGAATAATGGTCCAAATTAAGCTTAATTTAGGCTAAAATTTGTAATTTCACCTCTGTATATTATTTCACAACAATACAGTACTTTATATATATATATTACTAGTACAGAAATATGTTTTTAGATTTCTAAAGTAAATTAGTTTATTTTTTTGATATAAATTTACTTTTTAAACATGTTTATAACAAAGTTACATTAAAATTTTTTAATATTTAAATTTTAGATTGACTCTTATATAAGTTTGTTTTATATTGCAACTATTCAAAGAGTGATATTTTTGTTGCAGGTAAAAAAAATTTAATACTAGAACATTAAATTTTTTAATATAACTTTGTTATAAACATATTTTGATCGAAGTTTTTTAGATTTCCTGCACCGCACATAAAAATCTTAATTCTACATAAGGATTAAAAATATAGTCTTAATGCTTCATAACATATTTTTTAAATGAGAAGTGTGATATCTTTCATTCAGCATTTTTTTGCAGATGCAGTAATTCAATTGTCCACTGACCTCAAATATACAGTATTAAAATCTACCTTTTTTCAACCATTACGATCTGATCTTAAAATGTATAATATTACCGATACTTCTACATATAAACGATTTATTATTTTACCAAAAACTGGTATAATAATAGAAATTAGTAACCTATACATACATTTTAAAATCTTAATTAATGATTCCCAATTTTAGAGTATAATCTACTTTCACTCAAATAAATGTATTTGAAGCCAAGTTATTTTATCAACTTTCCGAGAATTGAGTTTAAAATATGATAAACTTGCAAATTTTGCGGTATTAAGTTTTTAAACTTGTAAAAATCATTCTGTATTCTCATTAACCTACATATTATTTTCATTAGATTATTATTCGGAATGAAGATAATATTGCTGAGTGTAATGAAGTTGAAAATGAAGATATTGCATATATTGCATGTTCGGCTCAAGTAACAGCCAAGTATGTTTACCTTTTATTTTTATGTTAAAAACAACTGATTTTACGTTATTGTCATAATATGACCATTTTTTATTATTCTTTAGTCCCACATTCATACGTTTCAAAAAAGGATTAGAAATTAAAAACTGGTTAGTGCAAACTCAAAAATCTCATTGATTATCACAGTTAAATACCTGAAGAAAGCAAAGATGTATGTGAACATGTATGTATTATAAATAATTATACTACAATATATTGAACTATTTATTTACTATAAAAATAATTTATAATTATTTTTTTAGAAAAAGATAAATAGATTTATCAGACTCAACCAAGTTGATTGTTTTAATCAACAAGAAAATATTAATGTTCAAACCATTTTTAAAAGCGATCATATGTACCTAGAATCAAATGTGGAAGACCAACTCATGATTTCTATTCCCTTTAATCAGCCTGTGAAATTTCACTCAAAAAGAATTGTTCTTGAAGATAATAATAATTGCAAAGGTAAAAAGAAATGAAGATAAAATCGAATATAAAGGTATTGGTCAGTCTATTGCACAATATATTGCTTTGATTTTATATAAAAGCTTGATTTGGTCTCAACATTCTATTTAAATAAATTTTGAGGATAGTGATTATATTGACGAAACTCAATTACTTATAATTTACTGAAAAAGATTATAAAGAAAATTTAATAATTCCTTTGAAATATATTAAGTTCCAGAATGTATTAAATCTTGTTGTATGTATTTTGATAGATTCTTATTTAATTATTATTTGACATTTCATATAATCATGTAATTTTTTTGCCTTGATATTTTTTACGCAAGATTAAATAATCATTTATACAAAATATCATAGAAAAAACTATATTAAACATCAGATATCTTAATATTGGACACAAGATAAATAACAAAAAACATTTCATCACTTTATGTGTGTGTTGTGTAGCTGCATATTGGAGTGACATTAACTCCGATGAAGAATTTCCTTTATTTCCATCTTCTGTCCAATATTATATACATATATTATAATATTTTGTTGCAGATAGCATTATATCTAATATTTTTACATATAATATTAAAGGTAGAATTAATACTTTTTGGGTAAGGTTCACATGTTTAATTTTTATAATATCAAATGTTATTTAATATTAATATTTTGAAGATCCCGAGTTAAATAATTTGTACAAATACTTAAAGTAAAAAAAAAATAAGTATTTATTACTTACTTTACCGAAATGGCCAATTTAGCAACTTTAGAACTACTTTAAAGTAAATATAAAGTAATTATATAAATACTTTATAGTTACTTTAAAGTAGTTCTAAAGTTGCTAAATTGGCCATTTCTGTAAAGTATCTTATTACCTTGCCCATCTAGGGTTGTATTACGTCACAACACATATAATTTTTTGCGTAAATTTCAGTAAACCAAGTTTCATGTAATTTTTATTATGCTAATATAAAGTACCAGCTTTATAAAAGTTTGGCCAACATTATATATCATTCGATTTGAAATACAGATAATCCAAATTTTTAACTCCTCAAATCGCCGAAAATTTGATCACAGAAGTCATATATCATGTACTCAAAATTACAAATTACATGAAAAATTGCTTCTGCAAATTACATCAATTACGAAAAATTACAGTAATTTTAACAACCCTATGCTCATCTCCAATTATTTCGGCATAATAGATTCAATAAAATTATAGAATGATACGTATGCATGTACGTACAGTACATGCGTACGTAACTTTTACTTTTACGTTAACTGTTAAATAGTGCAATGACACATAATTACAAAAAGCTTTGGCAGCATTACTAAACTTCCATCTTGGTGTTCGGAGCATAATTTTATATTTATTTATGTACCAGCTCTACGGCCAACATTATCCACATAACAAAAATTACATGTAATTTTGACACCAGAAACTTATACATACATATCATACTCATGCAAAATTATAGCAATTTTCAAACCATAAACATAAAAGACATATGTTACATATTATACTTATTCTACAGAAAATTTTGTCATTATAAATGTCGACATGTTCAATTTTCAGTTGAATGTTTGGTTTGTGCGAAAACTTATAGAAAAGGCTAAATATTGACAAGAAAGATAAAAAGACTCCAGATATAAAATAGACTTTTATAATAAACATATTACACGAGGTCAAGAATTTTTAAAAGCATCATGGTTCTGTATTTGACCTGAGATATTTGTATCGGTATAATATTTATATTAGTTACCTGATACCAGATACGTACGTACGTAAATAAGTATACGTATCATTTATAAAATTCATTATGCCAAAATCATAAACTAAATGGAATCAGCCGAAAAATCATCCAGTAAGTTTTATCGGGTGTCTCAGGAATTATGATAATAGCTGTAACAACAACTAATACCTAATAAGAAACCTTTGTGTTTTTTAATATACATCGTGCACATAGCCTTATAAACTTTTCATCGTATTCTAAAAGCCTCTATAATGATAATATTAATAAATTGTATAGTTAATTAATATTATTCG